ACGTTTGGTTAGGTGGTCCAAATAACGTGGTTGACAATATTGTACTACTGATAACGAGTCAGACATGACATTCGTTTGTCGGATCTGAGTGAATATGCTGGCCAAACGCGTAGATCAGTATGATTAATCAACTGGAGCTCAACTGAGAGGGGACAGACTAGTCTGCGAGTGCAGTCACTGCGTAGGGGTAATGTAACATGAGTTCACACTACAAAGAATTTATCGTTCGTGCATAATAAAGGCTCACATTGAATTCAGGCCTGCTGTTCAACTGACTAACCCTAAAATGATATTCCTGTCAGAAAAACTTTTGAAAGTCCTTGTATAACCCGACGAACAAGAAGTTCACGGTAGATTTGAACCACAAACCGGTACATGTGGATGGCTATTTGTTCCGTAAATCGGTTGTGTCCTCCCTGGTTTACATACTGGTGAGTCGGTTGGCAAAAGTACGTAAGTCTTGTCGAGAAAATATTCTCCAAATGTCCGGTAGATCCCATGGAGTCAGATTTTAAAATTGTTGGTGCATATAATTGAAAGAAGTGTATAGAGTTCAAGCGGTAACCGAAGGAACGGTGTCTGTCTGAAGTTCAGTATCTTATAAGGTTTCCACGACGCACTAGCTAATCTCTCAATCTGGGCTCTATGTTGGTGAATCACTTGCAGTTCCTGGGGAGGACTGCAGAACGCCAATGACTTTCAGTCTCTGGTGTTAAAAGCAAATATCAGATAACGTCACCATTGATGACAGCCAATCAAAGAAGAAAGGGATATACAAACGATGGCCTTATCCCATACCACCCAGTCGTTATAAGTTGAACTACGGATCGAAATAACCTGATTAGCAGCTTTCTTTGTATGCGAATCCCCCCATCCCACCGGGAATGCCATAATATAAGCAACATTCAGTTCCTTTCTTCGTGTGGATAAACCATTATTAACCAGATATCCAATACCAGATGTCCCTTATGTGCTGCCATTTGTTTCAAGACGTACACTCTCAACCCTATTTGTTGCACATTTGCTTTTGTTCTTTAAGGCTGAGAGGTAAGCAATCGCAGGTTCTATTGGTGTTGTTTTCAAACAAGATTTTGGTACATTCTGGTACTTGACAAATTAAGACGCGAACTGGTCAGACGAATAAAGCTGTGTGCTGCATTGCATTCGTCGGAACCAATGAGACATATATTCATGAGAATCTGGACTTGGTTGGATTCTGTATATACTCTGGATTGATTCAGTGCTACTGTTTCTTCAGGCAAACGGAATAACTGCCTACGCACGACTCATGACCATGATAGCCGTTATGAGTAAAAACCCTTACCGACTGAGCTCCACCTACTTGCGATTGCATCTCGTAAAGCATGATTTGTAGACACTGCGCAGGAGAAACTACGGCTGCAGGGCCCATTATTCCTGCCAGAGGCATTGGTGACAAACGGTCATTACACCGCAATGAATTTTGTCGAACGAATGGCAGTGTAGAGTTGAGATCAAACGCAGCTTGGACATAGAACACAGTTTGGCATGGGGATTGGTTTCAAGTATCATGTGGATTAGTCGCTCCAGGTAGGCAGCACGAATTAGCTTGTTCAAGTGTTACGTTATAACGTAAATTCATTCTATAGCCTCGTAGTTCGAACCGGTGCGGTTGCTTTCTCACCCGTGTACAGACTATGGTTGGGAATATCCAGATTTTTGGGAGGGTTCATAATTAGGCGTGGCATAAAGCGTTATTGTCGGTGAGTATGATATTAACCTAAGCTGAAGGGACGGTGAGTTATGGAAAAGGTTGATGACACTAGATTGCTGGATCAGTTTTGCACGACCATACAGCCTTTGACTTCACCATCATTACAAACCTCAAAGAGCTGTTCAGCCAGATGAATATACAAAAACTAACTTCATATCCCCTTGCAGGCCAATTCTCATTTGTCGGGAGTGTGCAGCTGGAGTATTATGGGGATAAGAGCTGCATCGGAATGTCGGCACGTCAAGTGTGTTTACTGACATCTTTTAAATTTCATGTGTACGAATTATTCGTAAGTCATCAATTCGACGACAGTTCCCTTCAGAGACGCAGATTACGTCTATTCTCTCTGGGACCACGTGACACCTTCATCCCCCTTCAACTCATCGAAACTGGTGACGGAATACTTGAAAAACCTCTGGTAAAAATGATGCCGTAGATATTACTTTCGTTCCCACACTTGTGCCTAACATGACTGAGTATGTGACGTCTTTGATCGCTTGCTTCTACACACGACGAATTCACATAGCATAATTGACCACTTTTGCGCATCGAATGGCATCTAAATAAATATTTGCCCTCACATGGGTTTTGTAGAGTCTGTAATCGGTTTTTTCCTGAACTTAAACTACATTTTGTAACTGTTGTGCATATTTTATCATGACGTTTGTTTTATTGTACCAATAATTACATCAAGAGAAAAATGGTACCAATACACAAGTAATCGGCGCGACTGGCTGACTTACTGAATCAGTGGATTTTCTCTCCGCTGAACTGTTTTGCTGAACCAGTGGGACTAGATGTGTGTTTGTGTGAACTGTTGAACGTCACATTAACTCCCTGTGACATTTTTAGCTGCAAATAACTTTCTTATTTGTGGAATATACCACTCACTTGTGAATCATCAGTGGAAAATTCTTACAAGTGAATATTTCCTTCACAGCCAGTTACTGCATTGAAATCGGTGTAGTGGACTATTGGATATACGCATTCGTGAGTCCTTATCGATTGCTTATTCTTTTCTTATTGTGATTTTGTTACTTAGCCCGTTTATTTGATCCAACACGCTAATAGGGTCCTAAGTCCGCTACAGTTTCCATGATATCGGGCTCCATACACTGATTTCAGGTATCGACTGCTTAAGCCACTTTGACACAGGTTGATACGCGGTGATGATTGTATGTTGACCGCACAATTGGGTGATCGTGAGCTGGGATTGACCAAACCTATGCTAGTCAGTAATGTCTACCAGTAACCAGCTGTTCCTTCAACCGAGTGACCGTCATTGGAATCATACACGACTGTCTGTGGCAGAGACTACAAACGTCATTTGATCAAGGGTCGAATTACGAGAAGGCTCACCAAACACTTCTCAGCAAGACGTAAACTGGCTGGTCTCGCTGCAGATGTGCCCGTAATGCACATGTGCACACCTTTGTTTTTGACTGGACCGACGAAAACGTAATCAACATTCCCATGCAAGACGCTTTTGACAGTGATTCATGAACTTCTAAGACATCTAGCGAAGATATCCGCGTCCGCCAGCGTTCCTGCCTCAGAAGTGTACAATTTTAACGGCTTTACGAATATCCCATCCCACGAGTTTTTCGCACGGTAGTGTGTAGATTTCCTTTCTTCAGCCCTTACTGATGTCTCACAAAACATTTTAAAACGTCTAACCATGGCCTTTTCTTAGTGACACGCAATTCGTATTTGGGCGTTCTTTCCATTTAGCCTTGATTTCCACCGTTTCAACCCCGATGGAAGATACTGATAGGAGGATGCTAAGGTCCACACGGATTGTTTACCACCAACATTCGGAACTTAGTTCACTATAGTACACAGATGTAGCAGAAACCTTACTCGACTAACTTTACTGAGGACGGCGGACTATCAAAGAAGCATGCTTATGCTCGAAGGAAATTAAACCATGCAGGTCCTTTGCTGAAAACAAGTACCGGCGTCGCATGTGCTTCATCAAACACCATTAAAGTATTCTGATTGGACCAAAAAAAAACCTGAAGCTGTTCATCAAGCCGTAATACGTAATGCAGGCCAAAAGCAACACAAATTGGAGACCATTCAATGAGATCACAAGGAGGGTATGCAGTAATTAGCCAACCGCGCAGAAATTGCACGGTTATGTGATTTGGTAGACTTGAGGGCTTACTGGTCAGTTTCCGGTGATGTCGAAGCAGCATGTGGACTGTCAAAGCTGATATTTAGGGTTAGGGGAACAGCGGGGAGGGATTCCAGTTGTTACGTAGTGGGGCTAGTAAGGTAGACAACGATGTGAGTATGACACATGGAAGTTTATAGGTTGGTGACGAGTAAAACCTGTGTAATGATGTTAGGATCGTAACAAGTTGAGCGGGTGCATGAGAAAGTAAACACACTGTGCAGTCTGACAAAGGTCAACTGAGACACATGATGACAAAAAGTGTGAATGGGCATATATTAAGCTAAACGGAAGCCTACTTGTGGCTGGCGGATTTAGGGCTGCCAGTCAGGTATTGTACTAGGGTGGAAAGTTGGAAAGTGACACCCCTGGTTTTGAGCGCAAGCCAACCGGGGGGTAAGAGCATTGTGAATTTTGGTGGCTGAAAAATAAGGTAACCAGATTTATCCAGGGCATGCAGGCTTACTGTGTCACTGTGGCACACAAATCAGCCAGTAGCATTGCGACGTTTTAGACTCAAAAGGGCTACTTAAAGGACATAAGGCCAGCTAGAAGAATTCGATCTGTTAATGGACATCAAGAATCTGGTCGGTTTGCTTGTCGTGTTAACAGAACGAGTGCTCGAAGAGAAAGGGAGCGAACAACTGAGATAAGCCTTGAAAGTAAGACAGGTATCGGGGCTTTAGAAGTGGAGGCAACAGTCCCCAAGCGTATAAACAGAAGTTGCTTTCGGCGCTTTTGCGTCGCAGGTCCCAGGGACGCTGTTTGTGACTCGAATAGGCAACTCATGAATATCAATTTACACAAGACTGTAAATGAACCGTTGCCGGAGACAGCTGAAATAAGATTGAAAAAAGTGCTCGCCTGGCACTATCTCGACACAAGCAAAGTATTAAAGAGTAATAAAGTATTAAAAGTTTTAACAAGACCCTGAAGCATATGTGAGAACAAACAACAACGATAACATTCCACCGAGCTGTCGATGAATTTGATTCTGGAGATTGCCGTTGAGAGGATAGTGATGATAAAACGGCGAGTTCTGTAGGCTGTGGCACTCGCCAGGTCCCGCACTGTTGCCGTAGGCCAACAATTGCTGAACATTTGCACCAGGATTTAACTTGCTGCTTAGGCACGGGGAGGTTAGGGCCGAGTAGGGAGGGACACCGTTATGGTTGTGAAGAGGGATAAAATTTCCAGAGGCACCGGGTAGTGTGTGGACAGGTGGTGGAGTGCACGATCCGGACACGTAGCCCGTTGAATGAGTTGATGCCAAAACATCAGTAGGGGATCCATTGAGGAGGCGGTCTTGTAAAGTGACCATAGTTGGTGTCGATCCATTTCGATGTAAAGGAGAACGAATGACAACATTAGATCCATGCACATCTGAGTCAGTTAGGGCACAGCCTGATGTATTGAAATTAGAGTTCACATATTTAGTCCCGGTCGTCGTGTTGGGTTCATATTCAACTGACGCATGCTCATTACTGGTCGTGAACGATATGAGTCTTGCACTCAATAAATCTTCGTTCTCGAAATTCGGGACGCTGACTGTAGGCATAACCACCTTACTGAAACTGCGGGCCGTAATATGCTTCGTTCGGGTGCATCAAAGAACGGTTTTCGAAACCAAGGTTGCTGGAATGAGGGTGGAATGCCGTTGCAGCAGCAGTCAATCAGCTAACCGTGTTGTCCGTTTGGTTAGCGCACCCTGCCGTTGTTGTCATTGCTTGAGAAGGTGGGTATCAGACGGCTAAGGATGGCATGCAGCTAAGGATGGTCTGACCGAATGTAACCACCGAACGATCAAGAGTGGCTTTG